AAAGGACCCGCGCACGGACGCTGCTGCAGTTGCACCTAGTCACTACAAGAAGCTCAAGAACGACCCGCCCCTGGGCGACTCCCACCACGGCCACCCCTACAACCCCAACTAGCGTACCACTCACGAAGCTGCTGGGGCATGAGGGACTCACGCGGACGTCGCTGGAGCTGCATCTAGCCACCACCAGGAGCAGTAGTAGCAGTAGTAGCCGCAGTAGTAGCAATAACAGCAGTAGCAGTAGTAGCAGCAGTAGCCGCAGTAGCAGCAGTAGCAGCAGTAACAGCAGTAGCAGCAGTAGCAGCGCCGCCACCCCTACAACCCCAACTAGCGTACCACTCACAAAGCTACTGGGGCGTGAGGGACTCACGGGGACGTTGCTGGAGCTGCATGTGGCCACCACCAGGAGCAGCAGTAGCAGTAGTAGCAGCAGCAGCAGCAGCAGCAGCAGTAGCAGCAGAAACAGCAGTAGCAGCACGGGCAGGGCAGTGTGGCTCAGTAGAGCAGGGCTGCACAGCCTGGCAGCACGACACGGCTCGGCTAGGCGGCTCGGCGCCGCTGAGCGGCTCGGCTGGCAGGCAGGCGCGGCAGGCAGGCCGGCGCGGCAGCGCGCTAGTAAGGCAGGCATGCGGGAAGCGCGGGTAGGGCAAGTGCTCACCAGTGGTGGGAAGGGCAGTCGCTCGCCTGGTGAGCAGGGTGTCAGAACAATATAGCTTATACATCTGTATAGGCTTTAGTGAGGTAGCCCATAAAGGGTACAACACAATTAGGGTTACTACTTGTACCCAACTGTTTCAGAGTTCAATCATTCTCTCGTTCTAAACTTCACATGGTATAGAGTTGGTTCCCTCGTGGGAACTGTTCCTAGGGCCCACCGATCTTTTTTTTTCCTGCCCGGAACGCGCTTGGCCCCTGCCCGAGTCGTGCCCCGTGTCGTTCCCCCTCTTACGGCCCCTAACGGCCCCTCTTACGGCCCCTAACGGCCCCGTCGCGTCGCCCCTGCGGCCCCGTTGCGCCGCCCTTTAAGCGGCCCCGTCGCCACCCTTCAGCGGCCCCGTTGCCGCCCTTCCGCGGCCCCGTCGCCGCCTTTCAGCGGCCCCGTCGCCACCCTTCCGCGGCCCCGTCGCCGCCCTTTCAGCGGCCCCGTCGCCGCCCACCCCTTCCGCAGCCCTGTCGCTGCCCTTTCAGCGGCCCTGTCGCCGCCCTTCCGCGGCCCCGTCGCCGCCCTTTCAGCGGCCCCGTCGCCGCCCTTTAGCGGCCCCGTCGCCGCCCTTCAGCGGCCCCGCCGAGCCGCCTTTGCTGCCGAGCTGCCGAGCCGCTGCGCCGCCGAGCCACCGAGCCGGTGAGCCGCCGAGCCGCCGAGCCGCCTTTGCCGCCGAGCCGCGTTTTGCCGACGAGCCGCCGAGCCGCACTGCAGGCGAGGCGCCGCCGCCTGTCGGCCTGCCCGGGTCCGCCTCACTTACCTGGTAAGAGCAGCGCCTCTGCCACTGCACTGCCCTGCCCCAGTGTACTCACTACCTGTCTACTGCTGTCATGGCCACCCCCATGATGCATGCGGCTGCCCCCCATTTTCTGTGGCCGTTTGCGGTTCAGTACGCCGCGCTTCAGCTCAACCTTCAGCCCCGGGTCTCCTTGCGAGAGACCTCCCCCGCCTTGCGATGGACTGGGAAGGTTGGAGATGAGTCTGCGTTTCGGGTCTAGAGATCTCGGGCGTTTGTCCGCGACTTGTCTGCGGACAAGCTGTCCCCCCGTGCTGTTCCCTGACGCGCCTGGGTGGCAGTTTTACCACCCCACCTCGCACCGTGTTCTGTCCTCCCAGGACGTCACCTTTGACGAGTCGGTGCCTTACTACCGTCTCTTCCCCTACCGCACTGCGCCCCTCCCCCCGCCGCCGCTCTTCCTTGCACCAGGTCCTCCCCCGGTAGACCCCCTTCCCACTCAGGGTCCTGCCCCGTCAGGTCTGTCCCAGGTAGACGCAGTCGAGCCTGTCGAGGTAGCTGTTGACTCTGGTGCTGCTAGAGGTGCTGAGCCTGCGGGTGCCGGGTCTGGGGGTGCTGAGACTGGGGGTGCTGACCCTGGGGGTGCGGAGTATGGGGGTGCTGAGTCTGGGGATGCTGAGCCTGGGGGTGCTGGGTCTGGGAGTGCAGAGCCTGGGGGTGCGGAGCCTGGAGGTGCGGAGCCTGGGGATGCCGAGCCTGGGGGCGCTGGGTCTGCTCGTGTGGCCGCCGGCGGTGCTTCGTCGAGGCGGGAGCCATTCTCTCCACAGGAGCTGCGCGAGTGGTTTGCCCGCCGCTGGAGACGTGCTGCTGAGACTGGGGGTGCTGCTGGGGCTACTGGAGTTGGTCCTGCTGGAGCTACTAGCGGTACTAGTGCTGCTGGAGCTGGAGCTGCTGGGGGTGTTGGCGGTGGCGGTGCTGCTGGCGCTGGTGCTTCTGAGGGTGCTGGAGTTGGCGCTGTTGGAGCTGGAGGTGCTGCTGGCGCTGGTACTGCCGCTGGGGGTACTGGTGCCGTCCTTGTTGGCTCTGGAGGTGCTGAGCGGCCGAGGCCGTACTTCGTTCCGCTCCTTGAGCAGGTTCTTGGTCTCCCGCCCTCTCCTTGTCCTGCTCCTTACTTAGAGTGTCCACAGCCTGTCCAGTCGCAGTCACAGTTACAGCCCGCCTCCCCTCTACCTGCTCCTTCTCCCTACACTGGTCCTACTGGAGGTCTTGCTGAGCGTCGTGCGCCCGCGTCTCGTCCTGCGTCGCCTGTTCGTGCTGCTCGCACTAGTGGTTGTACTGCGCGTCCACGTCCTCCTGCGGTCCCAGGCACACACCAGATGGCGCTGCGTCCTTCCACTGCTCCCCTGCGTGTCCCGTTGCCGTCTCCTCCAGAGTCCTCTCTTCCTACTCTTGCTGACCTGGAGTCTGACTCCCTTCGTGCTGCTAGTCCTTCGGTCACGCGTCTCCTTGCTACAATTGTCACTGACCCTTCCTTTGAGTCCACTGCTGCGTCTGCCCTAGTCTGCCCTTCCTTTCACAACATCCAGTTTATATTTAGAATACAGGGAATACGAAACAACCTAGGCTATCCGTGTACTCTAAAGCGTACATTCCCTTATTGCAGCGAAGTTCAAACCGTGTGGCGAGGGAACCCGTTTCAAACCGGTTTCCTCTCGGGGCGCACGGCGGAAGGAAAAACTGCCGCACGCCACGGGGCGTGCGGCACAGAGAGTAGTGATAGTAGTAGTAGTAGGAGTTGCAGCGGAAGCAACGAGGTGGTAAGTCCACCCACAGGATCGATCCAAGGGGATCGACCTGCTCTGATAGCATGTGAAAGTTTAGAAAAGAGAAGAGGGCTGCACTAGGAAGAATGGGGATACAAATAGCAAACCCTAGAAGGGTTGTACTCGCTATAGAGCACCCCACTACAGGCTAGAGCATAAGATAACATTCTGACAGATGTAACCTGAGGTCAATCCTGAGCCGATCCCTGGCTAAGTCCTGTTTAGGATTGTAACACAATATGGTTTAAAATTATCTGTAATCTATATTCAGCTCACTGAACTCTATCGAGACCAGCTGAACCAGCTTTCGCACTGGGCGTGGGTTTTGTGTCACGTCATTCTAACAACAGGAGGCTCGTTATCCATCACGCAGTGGCAAATTGGGGCCAGCCTCTCCACCTTGCGCAATTGTCTCGGTGGAAACGCACGCTTCTTGGTCTGTATGCCCGTTGGAAACTCAGATTTCGCTACAAAATAACGATGCAATTGTCACAAGGGGTGTACTAAAAACTACAGAGAAAATGGAGTGTGTTCCAACCGGGGGATTCTTTAGTACACCCATCATAATTGAACACCAATTGCGCGAGCGTTCCAATGGTGTGGCGGCAAGGGAGTGGGAGCGTCGCAAATCGAGTGATTACGCACCTCTGCTTGCACGCAACGGGGCGTGCAGTTCACCCCTTTGATAGTAGAGATGTGGGGGTGTCTCGGCAGTTGTTTCCGGCGGTGGCTTCGACAGCAGGGGGATGCGCATTTAGGGCTAGCTGTGTTACGGGGGGCTTGTCGGGAGGACAACACTTCGTTTTCGGCTTATCTTTTGGGGTCTCTAAAGGCGCTCAACAGGATGACGTTACAATAGGCGCAAGCCCGTATCATCCTGTTTCGTGCGGTGTCTTCCATGGGGGGATGAATGTGGATTTGGTGGACAGGGAGAGGGACGACGTTGAGGTGGAGGGCGGGGCTCTCTGAGTGGAAGCCCCGTACATGGTGGATGCACAGATGTGAATTAGGGGGGGTGAAATGGGGTGCGGGATAGGGAGTCTTGATGGGGTGTCTTGACTGGCTGTTTTGAGTTCATGTCTTGAGGGAGTTTTTTATATGTGTTGCTTTTAAGTTTTTCTTGGGCAGCTTTACTTTCCTTCTCCCCCTTTCCTTCTCGATTTCCTTTCTCCTTTTTATATGTCCCTCTTTCCCTTTTTCTCTTTCTGTATAGGACCATATAAAACCAACAGAGCCTAGGATCACAATTGAACACCCATGGGTCCTCTATTTTGGGGAATGTACGGTACTATGCGGGAGATTACGCTATACCTTTGCAATTGTTACGGAACTCTCAGATGTTTAACAATTGAAACAGCTTATAGCAAGGGGTTGCTCGTGTCGCTGAATACATTTTGTCAGGCTTACCGCGCGATTGTTAGCAGTGAGTCCTCAGCTTGGAGGAGTTGGATGGTCAGATGGCGAGGCGACGTGGCTCACAGAGTCACAGCCCACGACAGGTCGAAGTTCCACCCACATCCTGGTCGTGTACCACAGCACCGCGCTGCACCGACAGTAGTGCATTTCCAGGATCCAGTCCAGAGGCTCTGGCCACATCCCCTTTGCTCCATAGGACTACTCATCAAGCACCAATCAGAATTAGAGGCAAGCGCACCCACGGAATACAAGCTTCGGAGTTGACGCGGAGGTGCCGGTGTCAGGTTACTTCGAATCCCAGCAACTTGCGCCGCCCGCCTCGCCCATGCAGCCGTCTCTGCTGGCACGGCCGTGCGGCAGCGAGGGAGGCGAGGCAGATCGGGGCGGGGAGCAGCGCATGGGCGCCGCGGCGGGCTGCGATGGCGGCGAGCGGGCGCGCGGGGGTGAGGCGAGGAGTGAAAGCAACGGCGGCGGCGAGGACGAGAGGTGGTGCGGGATCTGCCTGGACGACGTGGGGGCGCGCGCGCTGCAGCAGGGCGCGCTGGACTGCTGCGACCACCTCTTCTGCTTCCCCTGCATCCTCAAGTGGTCGCAGGTACCCAACCCCCCGCGCCACCCCACCCGCCATCGCGCCGACCATTTCGTGTCCCGCTCGCGTCCGCGCATGGCCTCGCGCTACGCGCGTCTCCGCCGCTCGGCTCATCGCTCCGCGCGACGCCCACTTTCCACCGCCCATCCGCCAGCCCCTCGTCCTGCGCTCTCCGCGTTTTTCCTCCGCCTGCCCTGCGCGTCTCTCAAGCTGCCCGCCCTCGTCGACGTCGTCCTGGCGTGCACGCGCCGACCCGCTTCTACTTCAACGCTCTCGCCTCTCAAAAACCCCCCGTCTCTCCCTCCCCATCTCCCCCATCCTCCCAAACCCTCCCCACCTCCTACTTCCCTTCTCCCTTCCCCAACCGCCCCCCAGGTGGAGTCGCGCTGTCCGCTCTGCAAGCGCCGCTTCACTCGCATCCGCCGCCTCGCGCCGCCCTCGCACGGCCGTGGAGCTGGCGGGGCGGGCAGTGGCGGGGAGAGCAGCGAGAGGGAGGGGCAGGCGGGCGAGGAGGGCGAGGGCGGGGCGGGCGGCAGACGGCGGTCGGCCAGGGCAGTGACGATCCGAGTGCCGCTGAGGGACCAGGTGAGGGGGGCGAGGGGGGGGGGCGGAGAGGAGGGAGTGGCATGCGGTGGTGTGTGTGTGGAGAAGCAGAGAGCACAGTGGTTGTGCCCCAGATTGCTGCCGTGCGTGCCAGCACCATGCTCAACACATGGTCGTTCATTTGCTTTGAGGATCCTCCAACCAACTGTAACATCTCGTGGCTAACCCGCAACGGCTCTTCAAAGCTGTCGCTCCCCCCGCTCGTGCTTTTGCTCCCTCCCGCTCCGCTCTCCCGCAGTCGAGAACAGTGGACACTGAAGCCGATGCTGAGCTGGCAGCCGAGCTGGCATCAGCTGACCTGGCAACGGCAGCAGCAGCGTCAGGTGGAGCGTTGCAGGCGTACAGCGATGCGGGGTGCATGGTGTGTGGCGGCAGCGGCGACGAGCGGGTGCTGCTGCTGTGCGACCGCTGTGACGGCGCGGCGCACACGTACTGCGTGGGGCTGGGCTCCTCCGTGCCCCGCGGCGACTGGCTCTGCCCTCCCTGCGTCTCCGCTGTCGCCCGCATGCTCGGTGGCGACGCACAGCAGGGCGCGCAGGGGGCGCAGAGGGCACAAGGGGCAGCGATGCCAGGGAGGGGAGGAAGGGGGTTGAGCAGGGAGCGAGGTGGGGGGATGGGGCTGGGCGTGGGACGAGGAGTGGGAAGCTCTGTGGTGGCGGAGAGCGACGACGACAGCGGGTGGGAGTATGAAGAGGATGTGGAGGATGGGGACGGCGAGTATGCGAGTGAGGAGGATGAGGATGAGGGGGAGTGGAGTGAGAGCGAGGGGGAAGAGGAGGCCGAGGACGATGTTGAGGGTGATGAGGGTGCGGATGGTGGCAGCAGCAGCAGTGTCGGGGGCAGTGAGGACGAGAGCATAGCAGCGCGCATATGCGCTGGCAGGTACACCCCCTCCTCCTCCTCCACCGCTGCTGCTGCTGCGCCTGCCCGCCCCGCCCCTGCAGGTGCGGTGGGCAGTGGGGCAGCATCGGGCAGCAGGAAGCGCAAGGCAGGGCGGAGTGGGGGCAGGCGCGTGAAGCGGCGCAGGACAGCAGCGACAGCAGGCGCAGGTGGCGGGGGTGTGGTCAGGGGCAGGAAGCGGCGGGTGAAGGTGAGGAGAAGGAGAGTGAGGAGGAAGGCGAGGACAGTGGCAGGCAGCAGGAGGAGCGGTGGCAGTGGTGCAGGCAGGGCTGGTGCGTTCACGTCAAGTGCCCTGCGCGTGCTGGCAGCAGGGGTGGCGGCCAGGCAGAGGCAGCAGCTGGCACAGCTGAGGAGCAACAGCCGGTGGGCGGCAGGGGGGGCAGGGGGAGCGGCAGGTCAGCACGGCAGCAGCAGCGCTGGCACCCATGGTGGGCTTGCAGCAGCTGCTGCCACGGGTGTCCCTGCCGCTGCTACTGCTTCTGCCGCCCCTCCCATGCGTGCATCCCCCCCATCCATCCACGACATTGTGAGCCCCGCCCTGCCATGCCCGCCTGCTGTGCGCCGTGCTGGGTTGCTGGGCAGCACGCACAGCAGGGGGGGCGTGGGGAACGCGAATACAGTGAGAGGGAGGGCGAGCGGTGCGGAGGAGGATGAGAGGGCGTGGCGGCAGTTTGAGAGGGCGCGCATGGCTGCTGCTGCCCTGGGCAGTGGCGCTGCTGGCAGCGTGAGCAGGAGTGCAGGAGGCGGTGGTGCGATGATAGAGGGAGGCAGGGGGGCTGGGTTGGTGGGTGGTGGAACGAGAGGTGTGAGGGGCGCCATGGGTGGGAGGGCGGGCGCTGCATTGGTACCGTTACGTGGTGAGGCGCTGGTTCATGGCCGCAGTGGCAGCAGGAGTGGCAAGGATGGCAATTCCACTGCATCACTATGCGCATCCACGTCAGCAGGCAGCAGCCTTGTGTCATCTGCCCTGCTCGCTGCCTCCCGTGCCCTGGCGGGCAAGCAGGCAGCAGCACCATCCGCAAAGATGCCTGCAGTGACATCAGCGTCAGCAGCAGCAGTGGCGCCCTGCAGGTCAACAGCAGCACCTGCCACGTCCTCCTCACTACCTGCCATGCCCTCCCTCTCTTCCCTCTCCTCCCTCTCCTCCCCTTCTGTGCCCTCGCTCCCGCCCGCCCCTCTTTGCCCTGCGCGCCCCCCAACGATCCCATGTGCTGCGGCTTCTGAGAGGAGAGCGCTGCAGGTGAATGGCAGTGACGCGCTGTTCGGGGAGCAGGAGGAGCAGCGGCAGCACAGGGCAGATGACGTGCACGGAGGCGCGGGGCTGGTGGGCGTGTGGGGGCTCCGACGAGTGAGGGAGAGGCGAGCGGGTGGCAGCGAACAGGAGAGGATGGAGGGCGAGTGGCGGGGCGCGGTGCAAGATGCAAGCGAGCAGGCGAAGCAGGTGCGCAGCACTGCCGTGATCGTGAAGACTGAGAAGGGCGGTGACGAAAGGGAGAGTGGGTGTGGGATGCTGAGCAATGGGGAGAAGATGGCACAGGGAGGGGGCGAGTGGAGAGGTGTGAAAGTGGAGTGCTGTGATGGTGATGATGCGGCTGAATATGGTGGGTCGGTGGGCAACGTGGCGCAAGGACCAAGGGCAGCCAAGGCTGAAGAGGCTGTTGGTAGTGCCGAGGTGGGAAGAAGCGCGTGGGCGCGAGGTGGGGAGGAGTATGGTGTGCGGAGTGGCAGGGCGAGTGGGAACACGGATGGAGGCAGCAGCAGCTTGGTGCCGCTGGGGCAAGCAGGCTGTGGCAATGGCGGGGGTGCGTTGAAAGGTGCGACAAAGGGAGGAAAGAATGAAACGAGTGGGAGTGGTGAGAGCAAGGGTGGTGGAGGTGGGAGGGGCGGTGGGGAGGCGAAACTAGAGAGGGGCACGGGGAGCAGGAGCAGAGAGGGGGCAAGGGAGGAGAGGGAGGCAGTGGTGCGTGCAGTGAAGCGATATCTGCATCCCCTCTATACAAACAAAACGATAAGTAAGAAATGGGGGCAGGTGGCAATGGCAAGTGACTTCGAGAGTACAGAATTCCGTTGTACGCGTCAAGTGGTCGTCCAGCACTTGACATGTGGAGTGGTGGTCCATTGTGTGCACTGCGCTCTTGTGTGCACTGCGCTCTTGTGTGCACTGCGCTCTTGTGTGCACTGCGCTCTTGTGTGCTGCCCCGTGGCATGTCAAGCACCTGTCAGCCCATGAGCTTCTTTCCGTGTGCCGTGAACCCCTCCACCACTGCGTGTGTGCGCCCTGCAGGTCGCGAGCAGTTCAAGCACGTGGCGCGCGGCGCCACGCACCTCTTCTGGGACCGCATGGCCCATGCACCCTCTCCACCGCTGCCCCTCGCACCACCGCCCTCGCTGCCCTCTCTCTGTATCCGTGCCACCAGCACCTGTCAGCGCCCCTCGCCCCGCCACCCCTGCACCAGCAGCGTTACTCCCCGCTCGCCCCCTCCCTCCATGCCCACCTGCCGTGATGCCACTACCACACCAGGCACTCTCTCCGTCCCTTCCAATGCACGCAGCTGCTTGGGTCCGGTAAGGGAGGGGCACGAGAAGGCAGCAGCACAGGGGAAGGACATGGAAGGAGGGCGTGTTAGAGAGGGAGTGGGTGGCGACAAGTCCAACAAGAGCGGCTCAGAGGTGTGCCCACGTTGTGTAGACTGGTGTGTGAGGGCCTTCTTGCCCCCTGTTCATGGTTGAAATGAGATGCATATACGGCACAGCCGCACAGCACAGAAACGCTCGCCGCTTGCAACTAAGCTAAAACCCTATGACATTGTAATAAAGTTGTTAGAGCATGTCCATTTAGTTACCGGTAGTTTCAATACGGCCCAATGAGATTAAATTCAATCCTTAGATTAGTCGAGATGGGTGGGAAGTCCTTATAGCCCGAGGTCAGCATGGTTTTTGGCAAAATTTCTGAAGGGCTGTAAACGTGTTGGCGAAAAGCAAAAAAAATCATATCGGGAACATGGGCAGGGCGAAAGCGAGATCAGGCTGCGAGGAGATTGGGAAGTCGTCACTCAACATCGGTGAGTGTGCGACAAACCAACCCAACCAACCAACCAAACGAGTAAGCCAAGCTCACCAGCAGGGCTCTCGCTAGGTTTTGGGGCTGTCTGACAGTACCCTGAAAAAATTTTCCCCCGTCTCACGCTCGGACGACGAAATTTACATGGTCTGCATTATAAGCTGGAATAGTTTTTCTAGTCTGATAAATAAGACGAAAAAAAAATCCTGTTAAAAGTCAACCTACTATAATCCTACCAGCATGTCTACTCATAGTACCTAACAACCTAGCTGCAGTAGCAAAGGACTTAGTCAGAGTCACTAGAGCCGTACACTTCATTGCTATCAGTATCATCCTCGCTAACCACTGACTCTGGGACAGTGGCCCTTTCTTTCATACTAAGCCACGGGTACTCAGCATCCATCCTTGCTGCTTCTGCTGCTAGGGCCGCTTCTCGAGCAGCCGCTTCTGCTGCTGCTAGTGCTGTTGCTGCTGCTGCAGCTGCGGCCGATCTTTTCTTCGCACGCTTGCTCGGTCTCTCCCCGGACGCCATCAGCACATCATTCGTAGGCATGCGCTTCTTGGAAGCATTCCACCTCCTCAGTAACTCGGGCCACTCCATGTCGTAGTTAAGGAGCGAGACGACCATCAGCTCTCCTAGCTTCGCATCGCACAAGTTCCCGCGAAGCCACCTTTTGATGATGTTCTGCCGTGAAAAGCCGCGCTCACACTCGACGGTACTGAGTGGAAGCACAGCGACGGCCATCCACAGGTGGACGAGGTTCGGGTAGCATGTCGCCCAGTCGGGGGAGGACAGCATGAGCTTCAAGCCGTCCGCAAACCCAACATCCTCCTGGTGTGAGGCCATGATTGTGGAAAAGGTGATGATCTCCCTCTGCGCTCTCGCCCAGTTGATGCCTGCGGTTGGGGTCTGCATGGGGACAGTGAGGAGGGCATCCGCCAGACGTTCACGCTTCCGGCCTCTCCACGGCAAAATGGGATTGCTGAGCGCCGCATTGGCATGGTCATGGACGTCGCTCGTACGTCCATGATCCATGCGGCTGCTTCCCATTTTCTGTGGCCATTTGCGGTTTAGTACGCGGCGCAGCAGATCAACCTTCAGCCCCGGGACTCCCTGCCAGAGACCTCCCCCACCCTGTGGTGGACGGGGAAGGTTGGCGATGCGTCTGCGTTCCGTGTCTGGGGATCTTGGGCTTTCGTCCGAGACTTGTCTGCGGACAAGCTTTCCTCTCGTGCTGTTCCCTGCGTCTTCCTTGGCTTCCCCCCTAATGCGCATAGTTGGCAGTTTTACCACCCCACCTCGCGCCGTGTTCTGTCCTCCCAAGACGTCACGTTTGATGAGTCGGTTCCGTACTACCGTCTCTTCCCCTACCGCGCTGCCCCCCTCCCCCCCCTGCCGCTCTTCCTCGCACCAGGTCCCCCCCCGGTAGAACCCCTCCCCCCTCAGGGTCCTGCCCCCTCAGCTGTGTCTCAGGTAGACGCAGTCGAGCCTGTCGAGGTAGCTGTTGACTCTGGTGCTGCTCGGGGTGCTGAGCCTACGGGTGCCGGGTCTGGGGGTGCTGGGCTTGAGCGTGCGGAGCCTGGGGGTGCTTGGTCTGGGGGTGCTGAGCCTGGGGGTGCTGCGCCTGGGGGTGCCGAGTCTGGGGGTGCTGAACCTTGGGTTGCTAAGTCTGGGGGTGCGGAGCGTGAGGGTGCTGGGCCTGCTCGAGTGGAGCCTGGTGGTGCTGGGCCTGGAGGTCCTTCGGGTGCTACGTCCCGGTGGGAGCTACCCTCTCCCCAGGAGCTGCGTGAGTGGTTTGCTCGCCGCTGGAGTCGGGCTGCTGGAGCTGGTGGTGCTACCGGTGCTGGAGGTTCTGCGACTGCTGGATGTTATGGAGCCACGGGTCCCGGAGGTGCTCGTACCGGCGGTACTGGAGCTGCTGGGCCTGGTGGTGCTGCTGGTGCTAGAGCTGGAGGTGCGGCTGGCGTAGGTGCTACTGGAGGTGCTACTGGGGCTGGTGCTGCTGCGTCCTCTGGTGGTCTTGCTGGAGCTGGAGCTGCTGGAGGTGTTGGCGCTGGAGGTGCTGCTGGAGCTGGTGCTTCTGGGGGTGCTGGAGTTGGCGCTGCTGGAGCTGGTGGTGCTGCTGGCGTTGGTGCTGACGCTGGGGGTGCTGGTGCTGTCCCTGCTGGTTCTGGAGGCGCTGAATGGCCGCGGCCGTACTTCGTTCCGCTCCTTGAGCAGGTTCTTGGTCTCCCGCCTTCTACTGGTCCTGCTCCTTCCTTAGAGTGTCCACCGCCTGTCCATTCCGAGTCACAGTTACAACTTGCCTCCCCACTGCCTGCTCCTCCTCTCTACACTGGTCCTACGGGAGGTCTTGCTGAGCGTCATGAGTCTGAGTCTTGTCCTGCGTCGCTTGTTTGTGCTGCTAGCACTAGTCGTCGTGGTTCGCGCCAGCGTCCTCCTCCTATTCCTCGCACGCACCCGATGGCACTGCGTCCATCCACTGCTCCACTGCGTGTCCCTTTGCGATCTCCTCTAGAGTCCTCCCTTCCTGCTCTTGCTGACTCTGAGTCTGACTCCCTTCGTGCTGCCAGTCCTACTGTCACGCGTCTCCTGGCTACTGTTGTCACTGACCCTTCCTTTGAGTCCACTGCTGCGTCTGCCTTAATTGGTGAGCTTGTCGACTTCGCTACTCACTGTCGTCTAGACTACACCGCGCGTCTTGTTGCTGAGTCTGAGTCTGAGTCTGTCTGTCCTCCGTCCGTCGGGGGTGAGTGTGCTCTTGGCATGGACGTCCTTAAGGACAGGCAGAAGGAGTTCCAGTGCTTTTCTGCTGCTTTACCTCATCTCGTGTCCGTACTGTTTGCCCCTAAGGGAGACCCGGATGCACCAGACATCCTGACTCCGCGCTCTTACGCAGAGGCGATAGACGGTCCCTACTCTTCTCAGTGGCAGACAGCCATGGACGCAGAGATGGCTTCCTGGAAGTCCACATGCACCTACGTTGACGAGGTTCCCCCGCCTGGGGCGAACATCGTCAGTGGCATGTGGATTTACAGGGTGAAGCGCCCGCCGGGTTCTCCGCCTGGCTTCAAGGCGCGTTACGTGGCTCGAGGCTTCAGTCAGCGGCAGGGAGTTGACTACTTTTGGACCTTCTCTCCCACCCCGAAGATGACCACTCTTCGAGTAATGCTGCACATAGCCGCTCTGCGTGACTACGAGCTTCACTCTCTTGACTTCAGCACTGCATTCCTACAGGGCAGCCTGCACGAGGAGATCTGACTGCGCCGCCCTCCCGTCTTCACTGGGTCGTTTCCTCCTGGTACCCAGTGGAGCCTCAGGCGGCCAGTCTACGGTCTCTGCCAGGCTCCACGCGAGTGGCACGACACACTGAGGACTAGGCTTGCGGCTCTTGGGTTTGCTCCTTCTACTGCTGTAGAAGAGACACACGTGCACAGACCTGGGTGAACTGCGCAGCTACCTTGGCTTGCAGATCACACGTGACAGAGCACGACGCACCATTACCCTGACTCAGTCACACATGGTGCAGCACGTCCTTCAGCGCTTCGACTTCACGTACTCCTTGCCTCAGGCCACTCCTCTGTCTACTCGCCACTCGCTCTCAGCTCTGCCTTCGGATGAGTCCGTAGAGCCGAGTGGCCCGTACCCAGAGCTTGTTGGCTGCCTCATGTACCTGATGACCTGCACACGACCTGACCTTGCATACCCTCTTAGCATCTTGGCACGCTATGTTGCTCCTGGGAGACACCGACCAGAGCACATGGCTGCAGCGAAGCGGGTGTTGCGCTACTTGTGCAGTACGTCGGGCATGGGGCTAGTACTTGGAGGGCGACGCAGACGCCAGTGGTCACGCCAGTGGTCCTCACTGGTCACGCGGACGCTTCTTGGGCTGAGGACTTGGCTACGCAGCGGTCGTCACAGGGTTATACCTTCAGCCTTGGTTCCGGCTTTGTTTCGTGGCGGTCTACCCGCTCGTCTTCTCTTCTCGGCTCCAGCTGTGAGGCCGAGATCTACGCAGGGGCCATGGCTGCAGAGGAGTTACGCTGGCTCACCTACCTGCTGACCGTCCTGGGAGAGCTGCCTCGTTCTCCTCCAGTTCTGTACGTGGACAACAAGGCCATGCTGGCCTTGTGTCGAGAGCACAGAACGAAGCACATTGCTCTTCGCTAATTCCTTGCTCGTGAGCAGCAGCAGCGTGGTCAGCTGCGCCTTGCTTACGTGGCCTCTCAGGCCAACACTGCTGATATTTTTACCAAGGCACTTCAGCCTTGTGATCATCAGCGCTTTTGTCGATGCTAGGTCTTGTGCCTAGTTGGCCTCACTTGCTCACTTCTTGACCTTGCTTGTACTATGATCTATCTATACCTGCACTTGCTAGTTTACCTTGATATATATAACCCTGCATGTGAACTGGCCTTGTGGCCTTGAACCTGTGCTTGGAATATGTGGTGACGTTGTGATCCACCCTGAGCTTGCTTTGCTTTGCTTGACTAGTCTTGTGACCCCTTTGTTCTCCCCCACTTTGCCTATGGGGGTGTGTCAAACTTATATGCTATAGTCTATCTAGGCTGTAGTGGGGTAGACACTAAGGGGTATGGTTTCCTAGGGTTTCATACTTGTACCCTTCACAATTGTTGGTCAATCATTCCTCATTCTTCACAAAGCGGG